ACTGCCCCGTCCAGGGCTGCCTTCCCAGCACCTCGGCACCCTTGGAGTGAAGGGGGAGCACAACCAGCATCTCAAAGCGTCTTAACATCAGTGACACACGGGAGGGGGCAAGCAGTGAGAAGTGTCTGGGGGGTGCCAAGAGTCACCCCACACACCGTGGGCTTTGGCATCTGACTGTTTGTGTGAGGAGATGACCTCCTTTGTGCCTTAATCTCACCCTGGGTATAACAAGGAATCGCCCTGGCTCGGGCCCTCCTGGACCGGGACAGGGTCATTGCCCAGAACCGGCCCCGTGGGGCTCCGGCTGACGCGAGGGGCGGTGATGGGTCCCGACGGAAGGTCCGGGGCTGCGGGGGCGAAGGGAGAAGCCGCTGCCGAGAGCCACAGCCGGGGTTAAAAAGGGGCAGAGAGGAGAGGTCCTGGTGGACACCGGTGTGGAAGCGGCGTTGCCGGGGCTGTGGCTGGGCTCTGCCCCCCAGCTCCGCGTGTTCTGTCCGGGAGAGGAGAGAAAGAGGGAGAAGGTTAGGGAGAGGGAAAGGAGGGGAGACGTCTGTGTTAACCACTAGATGGTCCTGTTTCCCAGCTTAAAACATAGCTCCAAAATCCAGCCACTCCTGGCTTTTCGGTAACCTGGGTATCAGTGAAGAACAGCGCAACGCTCCGTGTAATTAACAGTGTGGTTTGGCTGCTTGAATTGACACTGTGTTCTGAATCATAGACTCATAGAACAGTTAGGGTTGGAAAGGACCTTAAGATCATCCCCACTAGAGATCAGGGAAGGATACCCACATTTTCCGCTCAAAATCAACGTGAAGATCAGTAAGGGAAGAGATCTGTGATGCAAACCCGTAAAGGGTTTTACTTACTAAGAAGGTACCCTCTCCATGCATACACATGCAATTATCACAGCAGAAGCACAGTCACTGCCTGCTCCTTAGATGCAGATTGATTTTTAGGCAGGGAGCGTTGGCAAGGTTCAAAGGGAACACGCTAAAAGGAGGATGCTGAAGAAAGCATGTGTATACACTATCGATTGTGTTAGCTGTAGAAGGACCTTTTGTGCTAGCACAGACATGGAGTGCTCTTCACGTTTTGCAGTTGTAATCCTGAGCAGCCTGATTAAACTCTTGAAAACTTGGATGAGGGAGACACTTCTTTTAGCTGTTACTAGGTGGAAATCAGAGAATGGAAGAGTATTGCTGCAGTGAAATAGTGTCATTTGTACATTGAGCTGCTCCCCGACTGAAAGCATCCTCATAGAGAAACTGAACAACAGAGCTGTTATTGAACCTACGCTTCACCCTGATGGGGTTGCAGCAGTTCTTATTCAGTCTCCTCCCGGTCATCAGTCTCACAGGAGCAGAGCACCCATGCACCTGCAAGGGTGTCAGCAAGAGAGCCTGCGGTGACACTGCCTGTCTCAGCCCCTGCAGAACGATGCGGAGGGAGTGAGGTATCTGCTGCTGTAGCAATACAATATCGCTCAAGATATGAGCCTCAAAGTTGGTCAGCACCTGCTGAAGCACTGACCCACAACCGATCCCATCAGCTCCTTGGGTGCTGTATTGCAGTATGGCCTAAGACTTAAATGGGGATAAATTGATCCCAGTCATGGCTTAGGGGCTTAGAGCTGCCATCAAGTAAGATTCTAAGCAAAACATAGTGATGGGACAATACCAAGAGGAGCAAGGCCTGGGAAAGGATGCATGGACTCACTGCTCCAGCTTGCTGGCCCTGAGAGCTCCCCACTGTCCATCTCCTCGCCACACCTCAACCCCACCATGAGTGTTTTCCCCCTGCAGACACGTACTTCAGGCAGAACATCTCAGCCAGGCAGCACAGAGAGCTTGGCTGTGCTGTGCAGGGAGCTGGCAGCCCGTGCTACTCCGTTATGCCGTGTCCCCACATCCATAGGGATGTGGCAGCGACCTCCTCCACTCTGCCCCCCTCCTGGTGTGCTGGGGGGGTGTCTCAGCACCCTGCCATGTGCTGGTGCTGTCCTCGGCTCCTGATCAATGGCTTTCTGAGGGTTCCTGTCACAGTTCTCAACCCCTCCTTCCGCAAACTCAGACTGCTCACTGGTGCTGCTGACGTGCTCCTGGCCCCCCTCTTGGCTCCCCCGCACTCCCTCGAGCCCAGTTCCTCCCAGGATAAAAGGCACAAGCCCCCAGCAGCTGCCCTGCTTCTCCTTGCAGCAGTGGCTACCTGAGGAGTGGCTCTGGTGCAAGCAGGTGAGTGCCTCGCGCTGTCTGCTTCAGTGTTTGTCCTGCCTCTTTCTGCCTGAATGTCCTTTTGTTCCTTTGGAGCTTCAGCCTTTCTGCACTGATGCGCTCAGCCGTGCTCTGTGCTCACTGACTTCTGCTCAGGTGTTGCACTGGAGGGACCATGCTAAACACTACAGGCAGTGTTTAGCCCCTGCATGGAGAGCCCAGCCTCTTGTGCTGCTCAGCCCTGAAATGAGCCATGGTCCCAGGCCTGGCTTCAGCAGAGATTTGGTCTCATGTGGGGATCTCCAGCACTGCTTTCAAGCTTGAAAGCTATTTGTGTTTGCATGGGAGGGGGTATACACAGTGCTGATCTTGAGGAAGATGCTATTTTAGGATTTAAAGTGTTAGTAGCACCTTATCTTCTGAGGACATGTCTTCAGTAGGGACTGTAGTGACAGGACAAGGGGTGATGGGTTCAAACTGAAACAGGGGAAGTTCAGGTTAGATCTAAGGCAGAAGTTCTTCCCTGTGAGGGTGCTGAGGCGCTGGCACAGGATGCCCAGAGAAGCTGTGGCTGCCCCATCCCTGGCAGTGTTCAAGGCCAGGTTGGACACCGGGGCTTGGAGCAACCTGGTCTGGTGTGAGGTGTCCCTGCCCATGGCAGGGGGTTGGAACTGGATGATCTCAAGGTCCTTTCCAACCCAAACCAGTCTGGGATTCTATGACATCCATGGGAGGCTTAGACCTCATGGATCTGCAGCAGAGCTTGAGTTTGGTGTGCTGAGAGCCCCTGTGTGCCAGGCTCGTGTCCCATGGCTTGTGTGAGGCAGCCTCACAGCAAGCTGTGATGCTGTGGGTTCACTGTAATGTTATTAATGGCTTTACCTTTCCCCTCCCATGCTGATAGGAATTGCCAGATAGCTCTCACAGGCGTTGCTCAGTCAAAATGTAAGGGCTCTTTCTGCTCAGGGACAAAGCAGAAGCAGCAAACTGCCCAAGTGGCATCAGTGCTGACTGCTGCTGAGCTCCAGGGGAAAATCAGTCCTGAAACTTCTCATTGTGCTTTGTTGAAACTAGTCAGTTTTCCAAGCTTTGGGGGCTCATTCACTGGTTGGAAGTGGAGGACACACACAGAGTGACTGCAGGAGGTCTTGTTTTTCAGCTCTCCCTTTGGAAGAAAGCTATAGATCTGTGGGCTAAGGCAGGCCTGGACCCGAGTTGCTCACAGACCACCTCCAGCCCCATTACTCGTGGAAGTGGATAACCAGATTTTGTGCTTATCCTCATAGCCTACTGACAAGGTACAGATGCTCAGCAGCACACGGGGTTAAGTTTGTGGCATCTCTTCCTCAGCTTCTCCCCATACAAATGGGGTGGGATGATTAGGAGGAGCAAAAATTAGGGAGGATTTGAGGTGCTGAGCTCCCTCGCTGTTTAGGGATGTTACGTACTGAGGAGCAGTGGAAGCCCTGAGCAAAAAATGGCAACAAGTAAATAATGGCACAGCCAGAATGGTGGGGACTTGAGACACAGGACTGCTTAGGAGAAAGCTTGTGCTAAAAGCTTTTCCCTGTGTTTCTGTCTGTCATTAACAATGAGCTCCAGGCAAGCTCTTCCTTTCTGTCACTCAGTTCCCAGGCAAAAACTAGGCAGGAGGTAATCTGGAAAGCCTGTCAGCAGCCCTGTAAGCACACCAGGGAGATTCCCCAAAACACCATCCTCTTGTCTCATTGAATTTAAGGCTTTGCTAAACATGGAGCAATGTGAGAGACACACCAGCTGAAACCAAAACTCATCCCGTGTGCTTTTATGTGCCAAAATCCTGATTGGCACGAGGTTGGCATGAGATATGTGAGTTAGAAAAGTTAACTCATGGTTCTGTTGAAATGGTGGGTTAAAATCAGTGTTCTCCGAGTTGCCTGCTGACTTAATTGTTGATGTGGGATAAAAACCCCCAAACAAGCCTTCAGTGATAACTGGGGCTTGAGGAGCTTTTGACTTTGCATTTCAATGAGACACAAGCACGTTCTCCACGTGCTGCTGCTGCATTGCCTGTGTGGTGTGCTTAGGAGCATCTCGCATCAAAAGATGTTCATTCCTGCTTGCCTGTACTGAAAGCAGGTTAGGATTTTGACAACCACACGGGAAAAAACACAAAAAGAAGCCTCTGTGCAGGTACTGACAAGAGGATTTCCTATAGCTCTGTACCTGCATATCTGCCTAAGGGATGCTTAAGCAAATGGGCTCCTGCTGACTCTGTAAGCAGAGGCTCCATACTGCCTAATATGCAGGCAGACCTTGTGTGTTCAAGGCAGACTGTCCTTGCATGGCATGTGGGAATGCTGCTGTGAGGAAGCTCCTACAAACTGCCACTGACAGGGTCAGCAAGGAATTGGTGACACAGGCAGAATGTTCCCTTTCATAGAATCCCAGACTGGTTTGGGTTGGAAAGGACCTTAAGATCATCCAGTTCCAACCCCCTGCCATGGGCAGGGACACCTCACACTAGAGCAGGTTGAACACTTGAACACTGCCAGGGATGGGGCAGCCACAGCTTCTCTGGGCACCCTGTGCCAGCGCCTCAGCACCCTCACAGGAAACAGCTTGTGCCTAAGAGCTCATCTCAGTCTCCCCCCTGTCAGGTTAAAGCCATCCCCCCTTGTCCTGTCCCTACTGAAACACATTTAGTTGTACAAGGAATGTGTAAAATGCAAACGTTAGACATATTTTGCAAGTGAGGAAGGGGTGAAAGGCAGTAGCTAAACCACATTTTGGTGGCCAGTGCCCATGCTCATACAGGGGGCCACATAGAAAGTCAGAAGCAAGCTCAGGGCCAGGACTCCAGTGTCCTGTGAAGCCAAGAGAGAGGCTTTCACTGGTGGTGAGCAAAACCTGCTGGTTGCAGAGTTACCTCAGTAGATGGCTCACTGCATAGCCTTTGCCTTCAAACAGAAATACCCAGAACAGCCCCAGCACCAGTGTTTCACAGAACTGAGTTGTGACATGGGTCTGATTGATAGAAATGCCCCGTTACAGTCAATACCTTCCTTCACCTTGAGAGCTTTAACTCATAACGTGTTCCCTATGTTCACTTACCTCCTCACAGCCTTCCCACCGCTGCTCCATCATGTGGCATCCAATCTCGTGGACACCGCGTGCCCAGTGGTCACCAAAGCACTTAAAGATGGTCACTGTCTACCTGCTGGTGCTCCTGGTATCGCTCAGCTTTGCTTCAGGACAGAGCAGACCATTTAAACACCAGATAGACAACAGGAGTAAGTATGAGCATCACCTGATGGAATGCAATAGGCTTGAAATTTCAGCTGTGCCCTGTGGAGCCAAAGTAGTTCACAACTACTTCTATACAGTAAGAAGAAAGCAAGGGCCAGAAGCTTAAGTTTGCTCTACAGACATCTTCATTTCTGTCTGGAACCACGAGTTGTCTCCAAGTCAAAATGCAAGTCAGTGGTTGAAGGGTCTCCATTTAGAGATGCTGTGAGGAACCAAGGCTGGAGGGGGGACACACACACAGTCCCGTATCACCTGAGTAAAAGCTAACAAACACACAGGCCAAAAGGTTTCTGAGGAAAATCTGTATCAGGAAATGTCATCTTCCCCCAAGGAGCAAAGGCTGGTAACTGTATGTGGAGTGGGGGAGAGGAGGTGCGGGGAGTAAGGCACATGGGCTCTCAGTGGGACACCTTTCCCCATTAAAGAGCATTAGTGATGGTGGGAACCTCGGTTTTTATGTACCCAGGTGAAGAAAGTGACCTTGTTTGGGTGCTGGTGGGCAGGAGGGGGTTAAACGTGTGGGAAGACTTCAAACATGCACTGATAGAGAAAAAAGTCCAGCCAAAGGGGGGTTTCTATTTTCTCTGTTCATGCATCAAAATGCACAGGGGAAAATCCTGCTGCCTTGCCTGAAACCTTCCTATGAGGTGGATAATCTATAATGCACTTCAATTCAAATGTGTCCCTGTTCCTGACAGTCCTTTGGAATCATTTGGCATTTCCTTGGGATGGCATCATCTCCAGCACTTTGTAGATATTCCCTCTTGTTGTATCTTAGTCTTTTAGTATAACATATACCCCTCTCCACACCTGCTCTAAACCTAGATGAGACTATCAAAGTAAGTAAGTCAGGTATAAGTGTATTTCAGATGCTTTCAAAGCAAAATGTCATCCATTTTCCATAGGAAACAACTTCCTAAGTGAACAAGAATTAGGTTTTCATGCTTCCATCTCACAGGAACCCCCCTGCACTCCAGTGGATGTTACTCTGTAGAGTTAGTGTACCTGGTATATATAGCAGTGATGGAGCTGGATGGCTGGACTTCAGGGCTTTAGCTAAGAGAAGAGAGTTTTAAAGATGGTGGAGGTACTGTGGTGTTTGTACCTTGCACCGACACCTCTTCCAAGGTTCAGATCTGTTTTAAAGCATCCTGTGCCCTCCTGAATCGGATGGATACTTCGGCTTACGTTAGATTACAAGGATGCTGGAGAGAGACTTTGGACAAGGGCCTGTAGGCACAGGACAAGGGGGATGGCTTCAACCTGCCAGAGGGGAGATTGAGGTGAGCTCTTAGGCAGAAGCTCTTCCCTGTGAGGGTGCTGAGGCGCTGGCACAGGGTGCTCAGAGAAGCTGTGGCTGCCCCATCCCTGGCAGTGTTCAAGGCCAGGTTGGACGCAGGGGCTTGGAACAACCTGGCCTGTTGTGAGGTGTCCCTGCCCATGGCAGGGGTTGGAACTGGATGATCTTAAGGTCATTTCACCCCAAACCAGTCTGGGATTCCATGATCTGCAGGCTGCAGCCCAGACAGATGAAAGTTATTTCTGCATCTGAATCTTCCTCCTTTGGTCTTTACACATGGAAAGCAACCTTCAAAGACACCCCGAAGTCGTGTGTCTGGCTGCAGCCTTTCCCCTTGTGTTTTCTCTTGGGCTAAGCCATCCAGCACTCTCCAGATGTTCAGGAAATGTTGCCTGTAAGTGCAGTGGTAGATGCTTCATGGACTGCTTTGAATTCCAGGTCCTGAGATCGATCCTTTTTGGTACGTGGGCCGTGGCGTGCGCCCCATCGGTCGCTTTGGGAAGAGGCAGCTGAGGAGCAACCCTGACAGCCTAAAGCCTGCGAGCAGACACCTGGATTATATCTTGAACACTTTGTGGGAGCACAAAGTGTTGGGCACACAAGACAGTGACTGGTGACCTCTGTTCCCTGAGGTGGCAACCCAACCTCTGTGCTTGGAATCACATCTTTCCCTGCACCTCAGGCACCAGTTCTGCTTTTGCCTAGCAATCCCACCCTGCTCTTCTTTCTGCTCCTTGTGCAAGTTCCTTCAAAGAGAAACGTGTTCAGGGTGAAGGTAAAAGGCAGTGCATGGACACTAGAACTAAGTGCCACCACAGCTTATTCTTTGTCTTCTGTCCCCACCCATTTCCTGATGCTGTTCACTGTAACGTTCAGTCTACCAAAACGCACACAGCCTTTGTGCTGGGATTTAAACTCTGCAGTGTTAAGTCTATCATGAAACCTTCCTGTCACATTTCAAAGTAAATGGCTGTTGATATGTAAAAAATAAAAAGCAATGGTTGGAAGAAAGAATAAAGGCTCTCATTCATTTTTAATGTACCTGCAGTAATGCTGGTGCTCTCTGTGTAGTTTTTACATAGCTTGTTAGCATCCACCTGTAGGAATGTTGCCCTGAACTGTCCACTGGCACTTCATGATTCTTCCTGTACTGCTGGAGAGGTATCTCACTGAACAAAAAGCTGCTCCTATCAAGGATAAGTGTTTTCTCCCTGCTGAAGAGAACAAAAATAGAGGCTGATTGAACTTTGAAGAGTAATTCTGTGCCTACTGCAGGTAGTTGTGCACCACTGCCCAAAAGGGGTCAGTGCCCAAACCAGCTGATTCCCTTTGAAACGATGCAGGTGTTTGTAACCACGTTACCTGGTCAAGCTAAAGTCACTCTTGGAGGATCACAAGCCATGTGCTGCTGCTACCTTAGTCCACATCTATGAGCCTGGGGCTGTGGCTCAATACATCTGCCATGGTGATTAACTATGTTATATTAGTAAGACATGTTATTTACAGTATGTTTAATCTTGATTCATATCTATTACCAGCAATAATATTTGAATGCAGTTTAATCTATGGCTTGTATCCAAAAAAGATAGTTGACAATTTAGCTAATGACCAATGGTTAAATCCAGGCCACAGCCGTTCTGCAAAAGGGACACTGAAATGAACTTGCATTTCTAACTGTGCCTTCTTGGAATTACTACTACAATTTAATAGTGGTTGAATTCATCACTGTAGGTGATTTAACCCTTTTTGTTCTCTTTGGATTTTTACTATAATAGGGTATTTACTACTATTTAGAATACTATGTGCTTATTTATAATACTATTTCTAATACTATCTGCTATTTGCTACTATATCTAAATACTACCTGCTGACCCAAAGTATTACTTAAAACATGCGGGTTTAAATGAACACACTCATGGTGGAGAAAAGATGCTAATCAAAAAGTGTTCTGATGAGCATTCACTGCATGAGACTTTGGACACACCAGACTATGATTATCTAGGTTGAGCTTCTTGCTCTCCCTTTGGGCGCAATCGTGCCTTTTGAGATGCTATTTCACCCAGCAGACTTGGGAGCTTGGAGAAGACTCACCATGAGGCGTTCCCAACGGCATTCCTCCCACCGCAGCCCCATGGACATGAACCGAGCGTGTTACTGCGTGCTCCTCACCTCAGCTAAGGGAGGCTGTGACGGGTCGCTGTGGACAGGCTTCCTGGCCCAAGTGCACGGAAATGCAAACACCAGAGAGCAACTTTTGGTTTTTCTTTATGAATCAAAGGCATTCTGTTCATAAACCACTTTTACTCTTTTATAATTCCTCTGGACAACAGTTCTTGGTGAGTACGCAGATAATAATAACAAGGCAAACTTAACATTCACTCCAACTGAACCCAATAGATCATCTAGTCCTCGTTTTGCCCAGTAAAATAGTTTTCATTTATAAAAATCAATCTAAATATAAATATTAACACTGAAGATTGAAATCACTCGATGACAAAATAAGTCTTTGTGTGCTCTAGCAGACGCTTTGAGGACTTTTTTAAACCAGTGGATTATATCTTTGCACGTATTTGGCACAATCAACACCTGGAAGAAGTCAAATGCCTTGGAGCGGGGGGGGAATTTTTTTATCTTTTTCTATTTTGTTGCTGCAATGCCTACACAGTACACGTTTTTTTTCTGTCAAAGACTGAATATTTTAACATTGTAACACGATAATAGATGCTTTTCATGCCTCTTAAGGAAAAAACGACCTATTCCGAACGGCGTTGGCTTGTTTAAATCGCACTAACAGAACAAAAGCCAAAGAGTTAATTCTATTAAAAGTAGTCATTTCTGTATTGATATTACATACACGAGATTAGTTATTAGTTATTAGACAGATATGTAGACCAACCACCATTAATGACGTTTCATAACACGCATACCTGCATAAACCAGAACCTGGGAATGTGCTGTATACATACAAGAGAACAGTCAAGGAAGGAGGAGGAGACTGGATAACAAATCCCTAGGCATCCTACTCTGTTTAATCTCCTTTACTGGATTGCATATATAAATAAAATATATTTGTTTTATATATATATATTTATATATTAAACAGAGTGGGCCCAATTCTACCCTCATACCTGTGCAAAAGCAATTTCAGAGAGCTAGGATTGTGTGAGAGCAGGGCAGAATTTCACCCAGAACAAACACATCTGGGTAGATCTTGGGCAGATGGGAATCCCTTGAAGGGATGGAGTGATGCTTACGTACTCCAGGTGGGAAGATGGTTGTATTTATTCTGATGGTTCCTTACATGCAGATGGACATCAGGGTACTGACAAGTGCTAGATGTCAACTGCAGTGGCAGATTTGCAACTGGCACTGCTGTTCCAACTGCCCCATCCAGCCGTTCCTCACCTTCCCACCTGCCCCACTAAAACCCACCCAGCCAGGAAATTTGCCCAGTTTTCCTCCTGTTTGCCCAACTGGAGCCACTTCATAGCCTGGTGTTCCAGGGGATGGCATTCCTGCCATGTAGCAGGTAACATGTGGCACTCCTAGTGGGTATTTGCTGGGGGCCCAGGGAAAAGAGCAGCTCTCCTCCTGCCCTGGTACCCACTGCTCCTTGATGCTGAGGGGGAACTTGCCAGCCTGCGCCTTCGTTCATGGCATGCTTCACAACAACCCACTCTGCATCTGGGGACCTGCTCTGCACTTTGCATGGAAGGTAACAGATTCACTGGCTTATCACCTCCTCTAACTACTTCCTTTGTATTCTTCAGAGCAAAAAGTACCACAGATTGGCAAGGTCCTCCCTGAAAGGGAGAGAGGGACACCCTGTAAGCAGCATCTTCCCTCCTAGGCATCTGATCAAGGGCCTTCCACCTTTGAGGGCTCACCTTTTGAAGGTCTCGAGCAATGAAAGATGAAATTCTACCATTCACAATCCAATTCAGAGTGGTTCAACAGTAGTGGGGGGCACATGGCAGCAGGTCCCAGCTACTCTACGTTGGAAGAGATCTCTGGGCTACATTTGCCTCCTCCTCAGAAAAGCCAGGAAATAGCAGAAGGGAATCTCTCACAGACTGCAGCCACCCTACAACCACCAGCAGAGATCTCATCTACAATGTCTTCACCTTCTTTTACCAACCTTAACAGATTTGGTCAGAATTTATTCTGAACTACAGCGTGGTTGGCCACCACCAAAGCAGACAATGCTCCCAAGAAGAACGAGACACAGAGAGGTGTTGGTTTCACAACAGTGCTCGGATGCTTCCAGACACCAGGATCATAACAGACATCTGGTCCACATGTGCTGCTACCAATTCACGCTTCAACATGACATCCATGTTCCCCCTGCTGACAAGAGCAAAATACCTCGCTCTGGAGCTACAACAGCGACTGCCAAACATACCCTCAGTGAGCAGAGAAGCCTTTGCACATCCCACACCTCCTCCTGTGAACCCTGTCAGAACCTCCCACTGACTCCCAGAGTGAGGTACACTGGCTCTCCACTCCCACCACCCCGCATAGGCTGCGCAGAGTTGTTCTTATTGCTTGACAACATGGATGCTAGTAACCAGCAAATATGGATCACAGGTCTGGTGTGGCAGATTAACTGGCCTATCATTCTGACTGACTGTGTGTACAAAAACATACTGCGGTGTAAAGATGACATACTTCCGTACAATCAATAGGGAGAAAAAGTGCATCTTAAAACGTGGAGCCTTGCTCTTGAAACTCAGCATCCTGTCTGGACTTTTGTGAGAACTTTAAGGCAGAGTTTCCTTTAGCAGACCACAATGCTGAAGACTTGGACGGCTTTCTCAGTGAGGTATCCAAACAAAGCCCTGTAACTGAGGCTTTGTAGGTTCTTGAGGGTCCATTTTCAGCTGGACGTATGCAATGGCTGTTAAGTAAAGGCACTCTAGTGTACAGCCTTAGGCAGTGTGTTACTGGCAGTAGGAGTAAGTTTAGTACATCACAGCAGATCCTATTGCAGGTTCCTAGAACAGAAAGGGACAGGAAAGAGAGAAAATGAGCAAACCACAAAACAAGCTTTTCCACTTAGGTAACCTCTGAACGTTTCTGAAACGTTGCTGAGATTCAAGGGGACTCTCACCTGCTGAGTTACAGTGTGCAGCTGGTTCTGTGAGGGCCTGGGTCAGGTCTGACTTGCAGGGGAGCACCAATTGATTTGATTTGATTTGATATGGGTTTTAATCAGGGTAGCACACTCCTGGAGACCTGGCAGCCAGGGTACATTCACACAAGCTGATATTCAGGAGCTGCTCGACTATGGTATACAGTCAGACAGCTCCCAGGACAATGGTTGTATTTGTTCAGAGCTGCCTCAATGGTCTCTCTTCTTTTTCCTCAAACTATTAAGAGAAGTTTTGTGAAGATGATGAAATGCAGCTGCCTACACATCTACTGCTCTCTATTTACTGCTTTTAACAGCAGTTTTAGTGATGCGTGCAGTTCTGGTGTCCTCAACATAAGGACATGGAGCAGCTGAAGCAAGTCCAGAGGAGGCCACAAGGGTGATCATGGGCTGGAGCACCTCCCATATGGAGCCAGGCTGAGAACATTGGGGCTGTTCAGCCTGGAGAAGAGAAGCTGTGTGGAGACCTCAGAGCAGCTTCCAGTGTCTGAAGGGGGCTACAAGGATGCTGGAGAGGGACTCTTCATCAGGGACTAATGACAGGACAAGGGGTGATGGGTTCAAACTGAAACAGGGGAAGTTCAGGCTGGATCTAAGGCAGAAGTTCTGCCCTGTGAGGGTGCTGAGGCGCTGGCACAGGGTGCCCAGAGAAGCTGTGGCTGCCCCATCCCTGGCAGTGTTCAAGGCCAGGTTGGACACAGGGGCTTGGAGGAACTTGCTCTAGTGTGAGGTGTCCCTGCCCATGGCAGGGGGTTGGAACTGGATGACCTTAAGGTCTTTTCCAACCCAAACCAGTCTGGGATTCTATGATATGTTATGAATTTACCATTAAGTCCTTGGCAGTGCTTTTCCTCTCTTTAGTTCTTTGTGTTAGAGATCCTTGAAGCATGAAGTTTCTGTTGAACGTCCTGACAGTGGTAACTGGAGAACCATCTATTTTTTCACCTGGGAAAAAAAGACAAAAAGGGGAGATTTTTCACAGAGCAGACTGAAGGAGATGTACCAATACTCCCGCAGAGTCACACCTGAGGAGAGAGAAAACTTCCCCTAAGCTGC